ATTTGCATTAAACCGTTTGATACAATTACTCAAGACATCTAACCTCGCCTCTACCCAGCTTTCCATGTATATTTCGGGTTTGCGATAATCCGAATAAATATGATATTGCAGCGCGAGAAAAGCGAAAGATTCATTCAAATTAAATGCATAATGAATAATACATATTTTCCGGGAGATGCCTCCGGCTTTTCCGAGTATACTCGTGTAATGTGTTTGCTCATTTGAAAGTAATTCCGCCGTCTCGTACGAATTTCGTTTAATGCGAATCCGTATGGACTGCAAACTTGTACAATTTTGAAAATGTATATTGAGTGCACGCGTGTTAATGGAAATAGAAAGAAATGGAATTTTGAATATTTCGGTTTCTGCGAAACGGCGTTCCGAACATTTTTTGCGCGTCTTAGGTTTTATGGGTTTTTGTAATGTTTCAGTTCGCATGAGTACACATTTGCTTTTAGCTAGACATTATATGGTCTTAAAAGATATAAACGGAATTTTATGAGTTTTTCCTATATAAATATATTTTGAAGTAAAACTTCTTTAGGCGAACTTGCGTTACGCCCGAACGGTTCGTCATTGCTCTCGATGAAATCATTTCTATACGGGTCGAATGTGATTAGTCGTCGTGTCGAGTGAATAGAGATCTTTCGTTGTATGCATACAACAACGAGAAGATCGTAATGTCATTAGATTTTAAGGTTACATCGTAGTACAAATCTTGATTTAATAAAAAATATGCTTGAATCAGAAGAATAATTTACCATGTAAATAACTGTAATGAAAATAATAAAACATATGAAACATTTGTTCCGTGTAAGAAACGTAAGTTTATTGAAATAATTTCTATGTTATTCTTATAATAGTTATTCTTATATAATAGTAGTTTCTATAAATCTTTGAAATTATTAAAATGGAAAATTTATTCATAGGCAAGACAGATATTACAGCTGCTTAAAGAATGAGATTGTTTAGCCAGCGAAAAAGTAAAAAAAATACAAGCAGTCAATGAATATATGTTAATTTTAATTACATGAAGTTCTTCAAACACAATTACATGAGTGAAATCCACTGTGTGAACGAATATTATAGAATTTATCAATCATCAATTACTTCATTTCTCTAATAAAGGTTCAAGTTCTAAATGTTAATTACAATGACAAACCGATCATGTCATATTTGAAGTATGACTTTAATTACATTATTGTTTTTAAATATTATAAATATTTTCAATGCTATCAAATACATAATTTATAATTTATTATTATGAAATTATGTATACCAAATTTTGTTCTGGTGATTTTTCACTCAAAGATGAAAAACGCTTTGGTTGTCCAGTTAAATTGTCTATATTTATTATTACGATGTCTACCTTAAACAATTAACAAAATTAAACAATGCAGTTGAAAAAATGGCCAGAATTAGCAAATCAAACGGTGATTTATACCATTATAGACCTCACATATCTTTGGCAACCCGGAAAATATTATTGAAGCTTGATTGGAATGTCTTACTCACCACATAGTCCGGACCTTCATTTTGGAAAATAAATGGCAATTAATAGTATCATAGGCAGATTAATTTATTAATTCTAATTCAAAATTTTGGGCTAACAGTAGTGTTCTGGTTGTCCTCAGTTGCATAGAACGAGATTTTTGTCGTTCAAATAAAAAAAAGATTATGAATCTTTTGTAGTTGTAAATGAATCGTCAACACTTCATTACGTTCATATCTTAGGCTTGAACTGGTTTATGTTAATAAAATTCATTCCATTAAAACTACAAATACGTTTTAGCTCGCAAAGGTTGAATAAAGCAAAATACTGTGCGTTATTCAGCAAAAACACATATTTGTCGAGTACACACACACGCTCTATAAAATCCGAACGCATTAAAAATTAAACATTGCTGCAAATCAAAAGCGAGAGCCGCTCCGTACAATTATGCAAAACGAGCACAAATTATTATATGCAAATGTTAATGAGCTGCCAGAACTGTGTGCCGAGCTTGCAAATTCTATACTACATTGTACACATATCAGGTTTTAATTTAATATCAATTTAAACATGAAAACAGCTTTTTAATATACTCGGTAATTAGTGAATAATTAAATGCAGAATTGGCATTTGATCATACACCCTGGATCATATAGATTAAATGTGAAATCATACAGAAACGTGATTGTGTTGGGTACATCGAATTGGGAGACTAATACCGATTTGTGAATTATAGGTTTGCTGCTAGAATTAGTTTTCATATTTAATTAATGAATCTAGGATTATAATAATAATAATGCAATATAATAATTTGGCATATTCGATCAACCGTTATGGAGTTGTGAATAACAATTTAATTTGTCCAAAATATTCAAATTGGATTAATTATCATAATATATATATTTAATCATAATGATGATCTGGGGAAATATTTATATAAAATTTTCAATGTTAAAATTATGTTAAGTATTCATACAAATCTCTATCAATATTATAGCATTGTGGTGTTAACAACAAACTGGTGCATGATTTAATAATATTATTTAAAAATGAATAGTATGTTATTTGTGATGCTTATAAAATCTTATGTCATTTGAAAGAAAATAGCTCAGTCAGTATCGTGCCCGAATCACACGCCACCGATCCTCAAATGGCAATGACAAAGAATTGAGTTAAAATTAAATATAATTGTAGTTTTCGATTTGAAATTGCTTAGATAAAGGAGAATTAGATAAGTAGAATTTAATAATAGTTAATTTGAAATGAAATAGAGTTTAAATTGTTGAGATAAATTTAAATAAAATTAGAATTAAAAAGAAAAGAAAGAGCGGATTTAGAGAGAATCGGATCTAGAAGAAAAGATGCAAATCAGTTGCAAAGAGCAAATTATTGGATAGAAAAAGATATAAATAAAAGCTAGTATAGAACATATATAAAATAGTAGAACATATATAACAAATTTTAACATTATAAAAAATGTAAAAATGTATAAAATATAAAAATGAAATGATGTATGTGACTAAATGATCTAAGTAATCGAAGCCAATATTCGAAAATACAGTTTTTTAAAAAAATTTCAAAGTGAACATATTGATGAATTGCTTTAATAAAAGCATTATATGCAGCATCAAAAAAACTGTAATAAATATTGAGATTTTTCTAAATCATTATCTGTGATGATTTCATGCCTGTTCATTTAAATATATAAAATGCAGCTATTCCCCCATGCTCAAAATATGTTGAATAATTAATTTGAAAATATTATTTTGATATGCGATAATGAACGAATATTTCTAAATTTAATTTATAGATATTTAACCGCAAATAAATATATCATGAAATGACTGCTTAATACAGGTCCATAGCAATGCCATTCGTTTGCATTATAAATATGTGGACTAATTAAAATATGCACATATCGGAAATAACATTAACTGTATAATGCAATGTTTCAATTAAATATCTATTATAAATGAAACAACCAATTCCCATAAGAGGTTCTGTTAAAATAATTAGAGCCGCAAAACCGATTACATGATATTTGTAATGAAAAGGTTATCTACGTTAATGGAATCATTGGTGTTGTCAATTAAATATTGATAGGATATAATTGAAACAGGAGAACTATAAATCAACTCAAAAATTTTATTTTATGTAAAGCTACATCTACTTTT